GTGGGGAGAGAACCCAGGAGTCCTGGCTCCCAGCCCCCTGCTCTGACCACCAGCCCCGCTCCCTGCTGCTGTGGGGAGAGAACCCAGGAGTCCTGGCCCCCAGCCCCCCCTGCTCTAACCACTAGACCCCACTCCCCTCCCACGAGCTTGGGAGAGACCCCAGGAGTCCTGGCTCCCAGCCCCCCGACTACAGCCACCTCCCTGCCCCATCCCCAGGCAGGCCTGCGCGGGGTTCTCGGCTCACCGCCCGTCTCCGGCAGGGCGTCTCGTCCAACGTGCTGGAGGAATCGGCCGTCTCGGACGACGTGCTGGCCCCGGACGAGGAGGGGATCTGCTCCGGGAAGTTCTTCACCGAGCTGGGGCTGGTGGGGCTGCTGGAGCAGGCGGCCGCCTTCTTCACCCTGGTGAGCACCCGGGGAACGGCCCTACTGCCGCCGCCGGCCGAGGGAGGGAACCTGGAACTGGGCCTGGGGGAGCCGGGCAGGGGGCAGACTGGGCTCTACGGTCCCTGCCCCCTGTGCTCCCGTGGCTGGGGGGCTGCGACCCCCGTCTGACTCCCCCACCCCCCAGGGCGGGCTGTACGAGGCGGTGAACGAAGTCTACAAGATCCTCATCCCGATCTACGAGGCCAACCGGGAGTTCAAGAAGCTGGCGGCTCTGCACGGCAAACTGCAGGACGCCTTCGGCAAGATCAGCAGCCAGGTGAGTGCCCGCCGCGAGCACGGCCGGGGCCGAGCGGCTCTGGGGGACAGTGCTGGGACCCACAGCCCGGACTCCTGGGTTCTCTCCCCGGCTCTGGGAGGGGAGTGGAGGCTAGTGGTTAGAGCAAGGGGGGCTGGGAGCCAGGATGCCTGGGTTCCCGCCCCGGCTCTGGGAGGGGAGTGGGGTCATGTGGTTAGAGCAGGGGGGCTGGGAGCCAGGACTCCTGGGTTCTCTCCCCAGCTCTGGGAGGGGAGTGGGGTCGTGTGGTTAGAGCAGGGGGGGCTGGGAGCCAGGACTCCTGGGTTTTCTCCCTGGTTCTGCCACTGTCTCCCTGCGTCCCTGGGCAGGTCCCTTCCTCTCCGTGCCTCAGTTTCCCCCTCTGCACCATGGAGTGATTTCTATTAGCCTGAGGGGGCCCCTTGGCCGCTCAGCTGAGGCAGTGTGGGGGCATGGTCCCTTGGTGACAGCGCCCCCTTGTGGCAGAGATGTGCATCACAGGGGAGCGGACCCCAGCCTCCCACTGAATGCGGAAGGGGGGGTGCCCCTGGGATGCCCCGGTTCTCCGGGGCGGGGGGGGCAGTGTTTTCCAATCGGTCAGGCCTCACCCCCGAGCCCTGTCTGCAGTGTCCGGGGGGGTCGGGGTGTGATGCGGGCACGGCCCCGATCCTGCGCTGCGGGGGGGTCCCGATGGCAATTGACGTGCTCTCTCTCCTGCTCTCTCCCCCCCTGCGCCCGTCCTGTCAGAGCGCTGGCTGGGAGGTAGGACACGCGTGTGTGTGTATGTGTGCGTGCCCCCGTCCCCCCCAGCCCGGTGTGTGCAGCACCCTCACAGTCCCCGTCCCCCCCATTGCCTCCCCCCCCGCATGGTCCGGGCTGCCCGGCGGAATGGTCTGTTTCTAACTCTGCCCAGCTTGGGAAGTGGGGTCTAGTGGTTAGAACGCGGGGTGGGAGGCTGGGAGCCAGGACTCCTGGGTTCTCTCCCCGGCGTCTGGGGAGGGGGAGGTGGGGGCTGGTGGGTTAGAACGGGGGGGATGGGAGCCAGGACTCCTGGGTTCTCTCCCTGGCTCGGGGAGGGGTGCGGGGTCTAGTGGTTAGAACGGGGGGGATGGGAGCCAGGACTCCTGGGTTCTCTCCCTGGCTCGGGGAGGGGTGCGGGGTCTAGTGGTTCGAGCGGCGGGGGCTGGGAGCCAGGACTCCTGGGTTCTCTCCCTGGCTCGGGGAGGGGGGCGGGGTCTAGTGGTTAGTGGTGCAAGTGAGCATGGCCGTGGGCGGTTGTCCGGGGCGTGATGAGTTACCAGAGCTCGGCTGGTCCCTGCTTGGTGCCTGTTTCCAGGCTGGGGGGCCGGGTAGCCCTGGCTGGGAAGAGCTGTGGGCCAGGGCAGGTAATCCCCAAAGGGGGTGGGGGTGCAGCCCCACCAACCCCCCCGGCCCAGTGTGCCCAGAGCGACCCCCAGCTGTGACCCTGGTGACCTTTCACCTCTGAACGAGGGGTCAAAGTGGAGGTGGCTGGGGGTGGCAGCGCCCGGGGGGGGCTGCATGGTTGCAAGGGGGGTGGCGATCTCTCCCGCCCCCCCCCCCCCGCCCCAGCGCCACGCTAGGAGCCGTCTGCTGCCCCCGCTAACCTGCTGCCTCTCGTCTTCTCTCCCCGGCCGCCGGTCCTGCCCGCTGCTGCTCCTCCTACCTCGACGCTGCGGTAAGTCGCCCCCCTGGGGCGTCCCGCCGATTTGGGGGGGCTCCCTGGACCGTGTCCTCCAAGCTGTGGCAACCTCCCAGCCAGGTCCGGGGGGAGGCAGGGGAGGAGGATACCGAGGGAGAGAGGAGGGGGAGTTCTGGGGGCAGGAGAGTGCTGGAGGATGGGGGGGTGCGGCCGTGGCAGCCGAGTGCCTGGGTAGGAGCTGGGGGGGCCGCTCCCTGGCACCCCCCCAGCCTGGCGGTTTCTGGGTCCAGCCTCATAGCCTCGGGCCCATGAACATGGGCTTAAGACCCGGCATGTGGGCAAGGCCGCGGGTTTCCCTGCTGCGCCCGGCCCCGCCAGCCCGGACGGCTCCCCACAGGGTCAGAGAGCAGCGCTGGGTCCTGGCTGAGAGGGAAGGGATGGGGGGGCTGGGGTTAGAGCAGAGGAGCCGAGAGCCAGGACTCCTGAGTTCTCTTCCCAGCTATGGGTGGGGTCTAACCACTAGCTCCCACTTCCCCTCCCAGCGCTGGGGAGAGAACCCAGGCATCCTGCTGTAACCATTAGGTCCCACTGCTCCCTGCAGCCCCCCCGTCCCCCCACTCTATCCCCAACCGGGAGCCCAGAGAGTCACCCCCCCACCCCGTCAGTCTGGTCCCAGGGTTCCCCTAAGGCAGCACCGTGGCCGCTCCCCCCCCCCACCTCCCGGCAGCCCCCTGGCTATCGGCCTCCCGGCTCAGCCTGCCACAGCTCACCGGCCCCGTGCCGCAGCGCGGCTGGGAGCTGCCTGGCATCGGGGCTGCGTGCCAGGTCCGGGACGGGTCTCACTGGGCAGGGGTGGGGCCAGCAGGCCCCAGGACATGCTGGGGGATGCAGGGAGTGGGGCAGGGGGCTCAGATGGGGTCACTGCCCCCAGCAGTCAGTGTCGGGCGCCGTGCTGCAGTGGGCTCAATAGGGGGCGCTCATGCCGGACACATGGGGGCGCTGTGCTGCAGGGCCGGGGGGCTCAGTAGGGGGCGCTCTCTCCTGCCCCCAAGCTCTTGCTGTATCCAGCTGTCACGCTGCACCCCAGAGGTGGCTGAACTTAAGGGAGGGCCGAGCCCATGAGGTGCTTGTGGCCGCCGGCTCTTGGCCTCCCCACGGGCCCTGCCCGTCCAGGCTCACCGGCCCCGCTCTGCCCCAGGCCCCAGCGCATGTTCGGGACGTATTTCCGGGTCGGGTTTTACGGCAGCAAGTTCGGGGACCTGGACGAGCAGGAGTTCGTGTATAAAGAACCATCCATCACCAAGCTGGCCGAGATCTCCCACCGGCTGGAGGTGAGGCGGGGGCGGGGGGAGCCCAGGGTCGGGGGAGCTGGGGGCTATGGGTTGGGAGTGAGGGGCACTGGCAGGATGGGGGGCAGCCCAGGGAGAGGGGAGCTGGGGGCTGTGACTCGGTTGGAAATGGCCCCTGCTCTCCCCCTCGAGCCTCTCTGGCTGGAGTCCCCGTCAGGGTGGGCGCGGGGTGCCCCGTGGGCTGCTTCTGCCCCTCGTGCTGCCCCCTGGCTCCCCACAGCGGGGGGGGGGAATCCTGCTGGATTTTGGCAGCTCTCCCGGGAGCCCGGCTTGGTGCTCCCCGTCATGGACCCCTGATCGCCAGGTGCCCCTGCCCCCTCTGCCCATCATTGTGGTCTCCGGGCACTGAGGCGACTCCTGTCAGGGGCTCGGGCAGCGGGGGGGGCCTTGGGGTCCCTGGACAAAACACTGGGCCTCCGTGGTCCCTCCACTCCCAGGCTGGGGGCCCCGGGGCTGTTCTGGGGGTGCTGGCCGGAGGCTCCCTGGCTGGAAACTGGCCGGTTCCAGGCCCGGCCCTATAGACTGGGGGGGGTCTCTCCCCCCACACAGGAGTTCTACGCCGAGCGCTTCGGGGACGACCTGGTCGAGATCATCAAGGACTCGAACCCCGTGGACAAGGCCAAGCTGGACCCCAACAAGGTAAAGCCGGGGGCCCGGCTGGCCACTGCCTGGGTATACGGCAGTGCCTGGAGACCCCGGCCGAGATCGGGCCCCCTCCCTCCCCCACTGCCCCGGGTGCTGCCCAGATCAGGGCCCCCGTCACGCCCCGGGTGCTGCGCAGACCCCAGCCGAGATTGGGGGTCCCCGTCGCCCCGGGTGCTGCGCAGACCCCAGCCGAGATTGGGGGTCCCCGTCGTCCCGGGTGCTGCCTGGACACAGCGAGACAGGCCCTGACACGAGGCAGGAGGGGAAACTGAGGCACGGAGCAGGACAAGGATTCGCCCAGGGTCGCCCAGCTCTGGGGCCGGGAAGAGGGCGGTGTGGGCCAGGTGCTCCTGGCATGGGGTTCCCTGGGGCTGGGGGGCAGATCCCCCTCACGGCCTCCCCCCGCCCCCCAGGCCTACATCCAGCTGACCTACGTGGAGCCGTTCTTCGACACCTACGAGCTGAAGGAGCGAGTCACCTACTTCGAGAAGAACTACGGCCTACGGACCTTCCTCTTCTGCACGCCCTTCACGCGGGACGGGCGGGCGCACGGGGACTTGCACGAGCAGCACAAGCGCAAGACGCTGCTCACCACCTCGCACGCCTTCCCCTACATCAGAACCCGCCTGCCCGTCATCCACAAGGAGGAGGTGCCGGCCGGGGGTGGGGGGCTCGGCGGGGGTTCAGTAGGGGTGGGGGAGGGACGCTCGGCAGTGGGTGCCAGGCTATGGGGAGTGAGGTGGGGGCTCGGCAGGGGGCAGGGTGCTGACGCCCCCCCCCGGTGCCCCCAGATCATCCTGACCCCCATCGAGGTGGCCATCGAGGACATGCAGAAGAAGACGCAGGAATTGGCCTTCGCCACCCACCAGGACCCGGCCGATGCCAAGATGCTGCAGATGGTGCTGCAGGGCTGCGTGGGCACCACCGTCAACCAGGTCGGGTGGCGCCCGGGGCAGGGCAGGGGGGTCGGGGGTCACGGGCTGGGAGGGGGCACAGATCCTTCCCTGCCCCAGTGCCCGCCCTTCCCCTCCCCCCCCCCCCGCTGGGCCTGCCCCATGGCAGCCTTGGCCCTAGTGCCAGGAGTTGAATCATACGGGTGGGGAGTGAGGGGCACCAGGCAGGGCTGGACTAGCAGGGGGTTGGGGGTCGGGAGTGAGGAGCACCGGGCAGGGCTGGGTGGGGGTCGGGGGCAGGGCTGGGCAGGGGCAGGGCAGGGCTGGGCTGGGGGCGGAGGGGGCAGGGCTGGGCCTGGTGGGGGCAGGGCTCTAACCCGCTGCCCGTTGCCCAGGGCCCGCTGGAGGTGGCCCAGGTGTTCCTGGCCGAGATCCCGGACGACCCCCGGCTCTACCGGCACCACAACAAGCTGCGCCTCTGCTTCAGGGACTTCACCAAACGGTACCGCCCCCCCCCAACCTAACACCCCCATCTCACCCTCGACCCCGCCCACCTGTCTGTCTGCCCCCCCAACCTAGCACCCCCATCTCCCCCTCTGCCCCGCCCACCTGTCTGTCTGCCCCCCCAAACCTAGCACCCCCATCTCCCCCTCTGTTCTGCCCACCTGTCTCTCTGCCCCCCCAAACCTAGCACCCACCATCTCCCCCACCCGCATGGCCCATCTGTCTCTGCCCAGCCCACCACACGTCATGCTGCCCCTCACACACTGTCTCCAGGGCTGGCCTCACCCCCAGGAGGTGGGGGGCTGGGTCCTGGTCCCTCCCTGCCCCGAGCAGGGTTGGGGGAGGGGCTTCCCTGAAGGGAGACGGGATTCCCCCTCCCCCCACCTGGGATCCCTCCTTTGGGCTCCGAGCCCCCCAAATCCGTCTCCCCTGCCATTGTCCTTCCCCGGCACTGAGCCTGCACTCAGCTGGGGGAGAAGCAGTGCATTTTGGGACCCCTGTTGGCCGTGGTCATGAGCCCCCCCTCGGTTGCAGGTGCGAGGACGCCCTGCGTAAGAACAAGGCGCTGATCGGGCCGGACCAGCGCGAGTATCACCGGGAGCTGGAACGGAACTACCTGCGTCTCCGGGAGTCGCTGCACCCGCTGCTGAGCCGGCGGATCCCCCAGCTCTACGCCCCCCTCGTCCCGCGCTCCACCCACCGGTGAGCCCCAGCGCCCGGCCCGGCACTGACACGGAGAGACGTTCCCAGCCGGAATACACACGGGACGAGAGGAGACACTGAGGCAGGGAGAGGACTTACCCAGAGTCACGCAGGGAATCCTGTGGCAGAGCCAGGAATGGGACCCAGGAGTCCTGGCTCTCCCCACTACACCCCATTCCCTTCCCTGAGCTGGGAATCCAGGACTGGCTTGTTCCCTGGGGTCTCTCCACACCCGGCAGTTACCGGGGTCCCCCACCCGCCAGGTAGGGGGCGGATTTGTCACATGTTAATTTCACCCATTGGATTAATTGGAGGGTCCCGTTTCCCCCCCCCCGAAAACTCTCTGAACAGGTCAAGTCTCCACAAGCCAGAGGGCTAGGAGGACCTTGGACCGGCTGCGTCTGCTCTTCCAGCCCGGGGTGCGGGGGGAGACACCCCTCCCAGCCTCCAGAGTGCCTTACTGAACCC